ACCATTCCTCTACACTGAAATCGTCGCCATTTCTACACCGTAGGCTCCCAAAGTACCTACCTTACCTACAGTACTTGACTACTTCCAACAACTTTAGCAGCCCGAATTGCAGTTCCTCGAAGAAACCCAACTTTGCCTCACCCACGACTGCAGGATCTGTACCTGTATCCTAGGTACGGATACCCCCGTCTGTCTGGCCTGCTAGCTGGTGCGAGGTGTGCCGGGCCCAACTACTGTTGACCGCGCTTGGGAGGCTCGGCTCCATCTTCGGTCGCTCGTCCCCGACTGGCGACTTCCTCCAAATCGCACAAGTCCGCCTCCACCTCCTTCTTCTCTACCGGACACCTACCCGACCTTGGCCTACCTTACCCGCAAAAAAACATCATTGCTCCCACCGACTTCGTCGCGCCTTACTTCAACGAATGCTCGACTCTTCATGATGATCTCGTGCGTCTTGCAGCTCAGCCTGTCCTGTTCCAAAAGTCCATTGGCTTAAACTCCCGGCTTCCGTCTCCAATTGTTTGAGGGTCCCGACCAACCCACGGCCGGCCATCCAACATTCAAAGGGGACCCTGAAACGTTGCAGTCGACCAAAACCTTCGAGTCTGCGACAACAATAGAAAATCGTCACTCTTCGCCCTCTCCCATCCTTCTTTTGTCGATCGCCGGCAGTTCATCATGGTTGAACGAATGGAACGGCCAGACAGGCCATCGGGGCCGCCTATGCCTCGCGGCTTGCCCGAGAATCCCGCCCAAGGTCGACGACAGCTCCAGAAAGATGCAGCACTCGGCAACATCCCTCCCCCGCCTCCCCTCCCGCCGATGCCCAAGGATCTCCGAAATCTTTCCACCGGCGCGAGCCTCTCGGCTTCCTCGCCCATGACCTCAGCCCAAGTCATCGCCCTCGCCCGCGATGCGATGCAGAGTGCCCTTCACGAGAACGAGTCGCAGGCCGCCGAAGCGAGTGCCGTGAGCAACGAACTGAAACCCGGCGTCACCATCGACTTGAGTCGCAAGGGCATCCAGAAACTCCCAGATGAGGTTGTTGATATTATCAAGAATGAGTTGGAGCGGTTCGTGCACCTCACATACCTTGTCCGACTGGGCTGCTTTTCTAACGCGCTTCTGTAGCCTCGCCCTATCGCACAACCAAGTCAATTCATTCCCAGCTCGATTCTCCGAATGTACATCTCTACGATATCTCAATGTGCGGAATAATCAGATCAGGGAGTTTCCGCTACCGGTTAGTATTTTCCTATTGGCAAATACATCATTGGGACTCTGGCAGATTCTGACCAATACCCTAGCTCTGCGATCTGAGATCCCTCGAGATTCTTGATCTGAGTAAAAATAAGCTTCGTGCTCTGCCCCCTGACATTGTCAAGCTTGCTTCTCTGAAGGTCTTCTCCGTCCAGAAGAACAGGATCGAAGAGCTGCCCGTTGCTTTGTCCGACATGGTTTCATTGCAGGTACTCAAATTCGATGGCAACCCAATCACATTTCCGCCTCGGGAGGTCCTGCAGGTGCAAGCAAGCAGCCCACCAAACGAGGGCTACCTGAAAGAAAGCGAAGTAACCGAGGTGGCTGTCACTGCACACATCAAGCGCTTTCTAAGACAGCATGCCATGAACGGCCGTGCAGAGTCAGACACAGCTGGTGAAGAATCCAGCGAAGGCGTGGAAACCCCACGTATGCCACCAATCAAGCGAGTTGTCAGCGGTCGGTTTCCTATCAAGGTCAATGGTACCGATGTGCCTGATATTCGATCCCCGAACCTGATCCGACCTCCTCCTATTCCGAACCGGTCGCATTACCGAGGCTTGTCTCAGCAGAACACAGCCATCCGCCGTCCTGGTGTTATGCCCTTGACCATAGGAAATGTCAACGAGCGCCTCAGAAGCAACTCAGAGACGTTGTTGCAGGCAACTCGCGGAGAACGCCCCGAATCTCGAGCAAGACGCATGGGCGTGGTATCTCAGAAGGCTACTCAGCTCGGCACCTTGGATGAGACCCAGGCCAACAACCGCTTCAGTCACTACAGAGGCCTGAGCCATGGTAGTGCCATGCAGCCGCCTCCCCCCAGCATGTCGGTCAAGAGCCCCAACAGCCCTGCAGAACCTTTTCTTCAGCGTCCGATTTACGTTAGAAGACTCTCTGTCCTCCCTGAACGCAGACGCGAGTCCAAGTTCTACGACCCTATTCTCGAGGCCGCCAAGGGCATCCTGTATGCCGTGTTTCAGATCCATCCCATGATCCAGATGCTCATGAGCTTGACGAGCGATGGTTCCTCCAAGAGATCTAGTCTCGAGATTGTCTTTTATAACACGAATTCTCATGTGGAGGAACTGGAGCAGGAGATTCAGAAGCACGACCCCATGGTGGTGGGAGACGAGATGGCGGGCCGCGAGAATGAGAACGTTCATCGGGCCTGCCAGACTCTAGTCGGGGCCTATACCCATGTCTGCACCCTCCTCGCCGGCAATATCGATTCATTTATCGACAACGGGGATCCGCGCTATATCCGCACTCTTCTTATGCTCATATATAACAGTATCATGGAGATCAGATGTACTCTTGCCGCGCTGACACCAGAGGGTGGCTTGACCAAGCCCCCTACGCGGGCCATGAACATGAGCGATACAATCAAACCCCACTCACGCGACAACTCCATCACGCCTACCGCTGACCGGCTTGGATTGGCCCAGCGACCACGGCCCGGCCCCATTATGCACAACCCGAGCAATCTCAGAGTTGCGACAGACGTGCCCCTTCCATACCTAAACGGAATCAGCGGTATGAATGGCATGAACGGTATGAATGGAAACGCAGCAAGCCGTACAGCAACGCTCACTTCCGCAACGCCACGCTCAGGAGAATCGTTTGCGTCGGCGTCATCCGGGGGGCGTGGTGTATCCGATTTCACCGAGGACGACAGACACTTTGAGAGGATTTTCCTCTCCCTGCGGAAATCGTCAAAGGTTGTCTCGCACATTTTGCCTGGTTTCCAGACTCACATGTCGGTCCTCGCGAAGAGGGCAATGGGACGTCGCGCACCCGAGCACGAAATGATGTGGTGGAAGGCTCTGATCAGCAGATGCGGCACGGCAGTGCAGCAGACGGAGATGCTGCAGAGCCGTTTGTCACTAATCAAACTCAAGGAGCCTGGTCTTATGTACCAACCAGCCTTCAGAAATTTGATCAGCAACTTCATGGACTCTTGGTGTGAATTTGTGGGCCAAATTCGCAAGGCGTTCAATGAAGTCAGTCTTCCACCCGATACCAGGTCCCGACTACGTCCTATTCAACAAGCCATGAAGGAAGTAACGGATACTATTGTTCAATCGCCTTGGAGCTATTTGTTGCGAGAGTCTTCCAACTCCAACATGTTCAGCCCGAACGGTGGCCCAGGCTTGGCACCCATGCAGTTGCCAATGACCCCTCAGAGCGCAGCTTTGGGCCCTGCTGTCCAGGCGACAGTTCCTTCCACTCCGCAGAGTGCTTCCTTTGCCTCGGCTTTCAACGGCGGTGTTTTTGAGCGTGCGGATGCTCTCATATCTATGGGTGGCCTCTCAATGTCTCGAAACGGTACGATGACAAACAGCTCGGCCGCTAGTTTCACCATGTCTTCCATGTCATCGCTCTCATCCGATGGCGGTGCCATGACACCAGCATCAGTCATTAGCCCTAATGGCTTCGGCCCTGGCCCGGTGCCACTGCGACTCAACGGTAGCAAAGTTGCCTTCTAGTCGAAGCGCAGAGCCACTACACCTTGGATTCGCCGCACATTTTGGGGCAAAAAGTACGGATCGCAATCAAAGTAGATCCATCTTGTTTTTATTTTTTTTATTCGGTGGTCTGGATGACCAACAACCGCATTTTGTCTCATTCCTTCATTCACGCATAGCATTGGCGTCACGGTCGGACTCATTCACGGATGGTAGCCATACACTCATTTGAAAAAACACGTCACGGATCACTACGCAGGTCAAGGGGCGCATGTAATGTTATAGTCACGAAGCAAAGTGGATGCCATCTCCCTGCATACAGAACATGGGGAGCGCGGGCACCAGAGGAAAGACCGCTACGAGTTCATGTGCCACGGTTACACATCAACTATGGCTGTCAGCTGTATACTAGATTTGGCCTATTAGCAAATAGGCAAACCTAACGAGCAAAAGGTTCACCCTGAGATTTAATTGGAAAAAACATGTGACTTAGGCAGCTTGTGGCCCTTTACTGAATTTCTTTTGGCTCAAGCTAAGCATTATGCACGAAACACGCCTGTGTCTCTTTATACACGACCATACTTACCGGAGAACTCGGGATCCTACCCGCTCTCCTATTAATAAATCAGTAAGGGTAAGCTTATTCAAGAGAGCGGGATCCTAAAAAACTTGGGTTCTAGAATAGTACCCGGCAATGTCTTACTCCTAGCGATATCACGCAATTTTTTATTTTTAAACTATTTAACTTATTTAAATAAAATTAGTTTATTTCATATCTTTATTATTATTATCTAATGGCTTTTACTAGTATTATAAGTATAAAAAATCACTTTAACAAGATTGGATTTTCTAAAAAAAAAAATTATATAATATAATACATTTTTTAATTATATGATATATATGGTATACCCTAAGTATATACTTAACTTAATACAATAATTCCAATATTAAAACCGCTATATAAATTAGGATAAACAAGCTATTTTAATACATGAATTATAATTAAATAATTAATTATTATTATTATTATTATTATTATTATTATTATTATTATTATTATTATTATTATTATTATTATTATTATTATTATTATTATTATTATTATTATTATTATTATTATTATTATTAATTATACTTATAAATAATAATATAATTAATAAATATAAAAAGTATCATAAAAACTATAATCTAGAAAAATAAAAAAAAAATAAAAATTAATCTTAATAACTTTTTAAAAAGTAAGTAAAAATATAAAGTTCAAATAATATATATATTAGAGAGATAAACCAACCAAGTAATAAATTGCATTACACAAAGCTTAGTCTGTTTTTTTAAAAAAAAATGTAAAGAAAATACAAATTAATCAGGATATGGAATCTTGACCGTATTTTTTGTTTGCTCAATAGAGTAGTATGGCTATTAAACAACAAGCACGCTTAGACTTTCTAGCTCTAGGTCGGTCAATAATACTAATGATTTGGCTAGATCAATACTACAAAGCTATCATATTTACGTAGCTAGCCCTGAAAGCTCTTTCGTTTAATAGGCCCAATATTTCGTTCCTTATATGCGGGGGAACATTCCACTTCTGCGAGGATGCATCCTCGACAAGGGTTTTGCCTTATCACACTGGCATTGCGTTGGTTCATTGTGACCAAAAAAGATGAGCCTCCGAATGTACATACGCTAAGTTTACGCTGACGACATCTCTGGCAGGCTGATGAAACTTTCTGAGGCTTTCGAAGGGTCGCCATACTGTTGTGATATATATTTCTGACGGAGGTTGCGGGCTTCCGTGTACTTTGGCTGACTTTAGAGTCCGAAGACGCGGGGGTTCCATCGGACTTACATGACAATGTAAGCGGGCAATACATTCGCCCCTCTCTCGAAATACGGCACGTAGTGGCCGATGACGTCACCACGTGAGGCCCTCCACGTACTAAGGCACTTATCTCAACCCCTATCGGCATAGGGGTATGATAAGGTTCAACTCCAAACCTTATTGATCGTGATCCCCTCTAATCATGGGCGTAAAAGCAAACCCAATCGTGTGGTAATCGTGTATAAGAAGCAGGCTACTACCCTGCGAACAGGCTGATTTTCCAGATCATCGCACCTTCATCTTAGGAGTTCACCAAAGATCCCAGTGGCCCCCACAAGCCCAACAAATTTCCAGCACTCACAATGTCAAACGCGTCAGATCGCGCTCCCGTACGAGACCGGGCTGAGGCGGATGCCTGGTTTCCATCGCCTTTCTCTTTGACCAAGTACACATCGCCCAAGACCGATTTTGATGGGGCCGACTATCCCAATGCCTATAACGGTGGCAGGTGGAAAGTACTTCTCATTGCAACTCAAGAACGATATCTTAAAATGGCCGGTGGCGAGTTCTTCTCAACAGGAAACCATCCCGTAGAGATGCTTCTGCCCATGATCCATCTTGACGCTGCTGGTTTCGATATCGATATTGCGACACTCTCGGGAGACCCGGTCAAATTTGAGATGTGGGCTTTCCCAGAAGAGGATGTTGCGGTAAAGGAGATCTTTGACAAGTATAAGGAAAAGATCCGTAGTCCACTCAACCTCCACGACGTGTGGGGTGAAGGGTTCACCAAGGATACCCCTTATCTCGCTGTCTTTATTCCCGGTGGACACGGGGTCTTGAACGGCATCCCCTTTTCCGAGACTGTCGGCAAAGTTCTACGGTGGGCTCACAACAGTCAGAGATTCTTCATAACTCTGTGTCACGGTCCAGCAAGTATGCTTGCTGCCGATGTTGGTAAGCCAGATGGAAGTGAGTTCATATACAATGGCTACGCAGTAGATGTGTTTCCGGACTCTTTGGATAAGGGCGCCAATGTTGATATTGGATATATCCCTGGCAAGATGGAATGGTTCGTGGGCGAGCGGCTTCGCAATCTCGGTGTGACGGTCCTCAACAAGGATATTTCCGGTGCTACTCACCGAGATCGTCTCCTTCTTACTGGAGATTCGCCATTAGCGTCAAACAATCTCGGGAAGCTTGCTGCAAAGACATTGCTTGAGGAGGCTGAGAGGCTCTCGTAAGAAGTTGATGTAGCTTAGCTGTTTAAGGACATGACACAGCTCATCATGGTTTTCTGTGGTGACTTGAGTAGGCAAATCTTACATTTTCTAATCTGGGAAATACCTCTATTTCGCCGTCAAGAACGACCTGAATTTGGAAGTAAGCCTTAATCAAGAAATACGTCTGATCCTGAAGATCGTTTGATCAGAACTCTAGAATCAAGTGAGAATTAAGCGTACTCAATCAAGCCATATTCTGGCAGTTGTCGTTATAACGGTGATCTCCTCCACGTCATATATCTATTGCTCAGCTACTCACAGTCGGAAAGTGTTCAACCTTCATTCAGTCTCGTGCGTTTACTAGTTTATAGTTTCAAGAAGTGACCCAAGTGAAGCACGTCTAGTGCTCTCTCGGTCTCCTGTACCTCCGCGACCGACACGTAGGCCAAGAGCTCCTTAGCATACGCAGCGGCCATGGTCGAGGCGTAGCGTTGCCATCGATCGTTCTTGTGGGAGTCGGCGTAGGCACATGTTCCTCGGATCACGAGACAGGGAAAGTGGTTCATCAGGCCGGCTGCTTCCTTCTCAAACCAGATGCAATCCTCGCCGACGCCGGCAACAATAGTTCTACACCTCTCTATGAAGATGACACCTCAGGCTTCTTCTTGCTTCTTCTCCTCGACCTTGACAAACAAATCTCGCTGAGTGTCGAGGTAATCAAAGGCCGTTAGGGGCACCCCCAGATGGCGGAGGATGCAGTAGGCGGAGCCGAGGTGGAAGTGGAAGTTTGGGCAGGCGTACTGGACGACGTACGAGTAGCCCGTGAAGCGGAAGGTGCCCATGGATTTCGTCTCCATCAGGATCTCGTCGTCCTCGCGGCCGGCGGGCATGGAGGTTTCCGGGTCGAGGGCGGCGAGGATGGCGACGGTGGCGTCGACGCGGGATTGGAGCTGCGGGAAGGTCGTTTCGTCGTCGGAGAAGTAGGTGTCTGGTGCATGGGCTACGCGGGTGGCGAGGAATTTTGCGGTGTTGGAGATTGATTGGACTTGGTAGTCGAGGCTGTATTTGGGGTTTGTTTTGGTTAGCTGGTGATTTTTGTCTAGTTGTCGACATTGGGACTTGGGGAAGAAGTAGTGTCGAAAGGGAAAAGGGGGACAAGGTGAGAGGAGGGGAGCGTGGATTAAGTCGGATGAAAGCTCACCTGCGCATATCTTCTATGAGCCTGAACTTGATCATCTCTTCCTGATTGAGGCCTTTGGCGATGCAGTGCTGTTCGGCTTTTGTGAGGATGACTTTGAGGTTGCCCAGGTATTTGAGCATCATGGGGATGGAGGCATGGTAAAGTGAGACCATGTTGGCGGTGTTGGTTGCAATGACTATGAGCTTCACGATCCTCACTTGAGCATGTAAACGAAAATGGGAAGGCTGATGAAGGAAGAAGATAGAAAACGGGGAGGTATGTGAGCGGAGAAAAGGAGTCCCTTTTATTCCACATCAGGTCCTAACCCGAGAAACCCGTCTATTTGAATGGTGAGTGCCCGTTGAGTTGACATTTCTACGTCAACATGATAGTAGTCCAGCTCTTAGTCTTGCTAATTTCAGGTACACCTCATACCAAAGACCCGTTTGTAATCCGGCTACCGGCATCATGTCTTTCAAGTGGAACAGAAGAAACAGATTGGGGATCTATGATTCTCAAGTGCTGACGTGAGACTACAACACAGATATGGGGTTGTTTGAAATCAAAGTTCTTTTTTTCTCGCGCGCGCGAGACTCGATATGGTAAACAGCTTAGGGTCAGTGTAGAGACACTCTAGCTGTCGAGTCTCAAAGGATAGGACGTCGTGGAGTTCGCACTTGACCCTCCGGGACCGACCGGCCCCACTACCCCGCCATCTCATGCGGGGAGCTATCAGCCGATCCCGTCAGCTCCTCTGATTCGCCGTGACCACGACTTACCTGATCGAGGCAGGACCGATGATTTCTCTAGTGTATGTATCTGTACCGCACCGTACCATAGATCGCGCAAAAGTCTTAGAGGTCCAAGGCTACGTGGCTACGCAGACACGCAGATTACCTTACATTTCTCCCCCGCCACCCGCATATTCTCCCACTTGCCTAGCCCACGATCCTTTCGAGAGCTCTCTTCGTCTCCACACCACGGAACCGGAAGCCCACAAGGTCCACGAAAGGGCATATCTCCCATATTCTTATCCGGAGTAGGCAGTGCCGTGCGCTCTCGAGTGTTTTACGCGCGCGTATACCGTATACCGTACACCAGAAAGACTCAAACAGCCCATCATGTTCGCCTCGCTATCATCATCCTGGTCGGGTAGGAATGCGCAACCGCCGCCTCCGCCGGCCCCTTCTTCATCAACGACCTCAACGTCGCAACATCCCAGCATATCCAGCGCGTCCCGCGCAGAGCACTCGCAGTCCTCCAACACCTCCGTCTCCGGCCCCGCGGCCCCTCACAACGTGCTCATCGGTGCCGCCCAACAACACCAACCACAACAGCAACATGCACCACCGGCCCCGGCCTCTTCCTCCTCAGCGGCGGCCGCATCAGCCTCCTCACCGCCCCAACAACCCCTCCACCAAACCCTCCCCTCCCCAGACCAACAACACCACATCTCCGAGGCGCGCGCCGCCGTCGTCGCCTCCATCGGCAACATGCTCGACGGCGAGCTGCAGACCCGCGCGCGGATGCTGCACGCCAACGCGGCGGCGCTCGACAAGCAGGAGCGCGACGTCGTGCGTGCGACGGAGGCGCTGCGCAAGGAGAACGACAAGCTGGCCAAGTTCTCGGGGGACGCGGCGCGCAGGGTGAAAGAGCTGGGGAACGTGCAGAACTGGGCCGAGGTGCTGGAGCGGGATTTCTTGGTGTTGGAGGAAACGTTACGACTTGTGCGGGAGGGGAGTTGTGGGAGCGGGTGTGAGAGTTGTGGGAGTGAGGGGAGTTGGAGTGGGAGTGGGAGCTGGAGCGGGAGTGAGGTTGGGGAGGGGGAGGGGGATGTGAGGATGGGGGAGGATGGGCATGGTGGTGATGTAAGTAAGGAGGGTGATGGCAAGGGGAAGATGAGGAAGAAGCAGCAGCAGCAGCAGCATCACGACGGGCTTGTTGATATGGAGATTGATGGGGGCCATGAGGATTGTTCGGAGAGCCAGAGTTTGACTGAGGCTGAGTCGAGTGCGGGGACGGATGGCCGAGCAAAGGGGTCAGAGACGACGTCGATTTCGACATTGTGATGATGGTGGACAGACATGATACCTTTTTCCTTCACGACTGAACGAAGATGATGACCTACCCACGAAACGGACAGGAATATGAACGACAAAGTTTGATGATTTTAAAACTTTTACCCTCCTCTTTTGTTACGCCTTTCCGTACTAGATATCTCTAGGTTCTTTTTAATACATATCAAATATCACCATTCGCCATGATATCACCTCGTGAAAGGAGTCGGCAGCTTGAGTTAGAGCCAGTGCGACCAAGCTATACCATCGGATGTAAGATATTCCACAATCTAGAAGATGCCGGGCAGCAGGACAAACTTCTTCTTTTTGTACGTCTCGGGGAACTCCTTGCGGTACGCGCGCTCCTTGCCCTTAGCCCACTGAGCCATCTGGGCAGCGCCAATGATGATGAAGACGGCAACGGCCCAGCTGCGGCTGGTAATGATGACGCCGATCCACGAGAGGATCTCAAACATGTAGTTGGGGCAGGTGACGAGGGAGAAGCCGTAGCCGCGGGGGATCTGGCGCTCGGTGCCGCCGCGGGAGCGCAGGCTGGCGAGGTTGAGGTGGACAATGGCGTTGGAGGCCTCACCAAAGAGGAAGATGATTGTGCCGATCACGTCGACGGCATCGTTGCGGGCGAGGGCAGTGGGCGAGGTCGGCGAGTAGACGTGCCAGGCGCTGAGGAGGCCGGCAAAGGCCCAGTAGAAGAAGGAGTTCTTGAAGATGTTGCGGAGGGGCATGGTGTTGGCGGAGAACTTGTGCACGAAGAGGGTCTCGTATTCGCGCTTGAGGAAGTGGCCGAGGAACATGGCGAGGGTGAGGAGCTGGGTCGGTGAGAGGGCCTTCTTGGTGCCGGGGCCCGAGTAGATGTAGGGGCGCAGGCCGACGACGGCGATGTGGATGAGGATGGGTCCGAGGTACTCGATTACGAAGACGGTACTCCATGCCAATTGGGGTCCTGCGCAAAGAAAGAAGTCAGTTCAGACATCTCGTCTATATCCTGTCCAAACCATCGTATTCGGAATCGGGCGCTGGATCGCAACATACCGAGATCCTTGACCAACACCTGGCCGGCAGAGATAACAGCCTCCTCGCTGCTGATTTGTGCCTTGCGGTTCTTCAGAGTCTTCTGGGTCGATGGGTCAAAGAGACCGACGCGGTTGAAGTCGCTGAACCCGGCCTGGCGGGCAATGAGGTGCTTGACATCCTCGACGGTGGCATCGGCAGGGACTTCGATAGACTCGGGGAGCTTCTTGATCGGTTGCTTCGGTGCTGTGGAAACACGTGTAAGTAATTTTCTCAGGGTATTCAGCACCTAGTGTGTCTTGCAAGTAATCACTTACAGCGGTTGCTCAGCTTGAGCGTGATTTTGGCTACCATGGCTTCTGATTGTTCTGGGTAAGACGAGGAGTTGTCGCTGGGAAATTCGAAATGCACTTTTTGTGTCTGCCCGAGAAGCTTGGGAGAGAAAGGGCTTCAACGGTGCTGGATTTCGGAGCAGTTGTTGAGAAGCTACTGCACGGCCGCTCGATGTGCCTCGGGATGGGTGGGGTTCTGGTGCATTGGCATATTTGAGTTTGTACCTTGTAGGTGCATAATGCTTCTCTATGCATGGAGGTCGGACGCATCACTTTAAACCGCAAAAATAACTAACATCATACAGTCCTGGCCGCCCGTTGCGACAAGTCGTCCTTGAACTGGCGCACGTAGCTTCAACATAGAAATGTTTAGCAAGCAGCTCGTAGATTTCTACTACACTCCTCTTCTGTTGGGAAAACACCTGAAGTTTTCCAAGAAATGTGAGTTTCGAATCAAAGCCGCTTAGACACCAGTCCCTTCAAGGTTCTCGAGAAGGCACCTCATGAACTAACAGCGAATTTGGGAACCTTGCTTGCCGCCCTATCACTTTTTTTGCGCTGGAGATTTTCGGGATCTGAGTAGGCTGTATCTGGGACCTCTGGTGTTTTCCTCCGACTATATCGCCTTTTGATCTCTCTCTCGACCGCTCGTTGTACGACCACGGACTCTGAAGATGTAGCCTTCGAGACTACCTTAGATGGACTGTTCAGGACAGTATCGACCGTGGTTCTGCTTTAACCTGTGATCTTGGGGGCCAAGGTTTCAAAACAGGTCCCTTTCACTTAGGAATCCACCGCACTGATGATCCAGCCGAGTGTTACTCATGCTACACTGCAGTGTTTGAAGTTGCCGTTGGCTTTGTCTTTGCTTGTCTCCTTCTGGCCTTTCTTCTGGCAACTTCATCTTCAGTCGAGAAATTTCTGTCGAGTACTCCCATGAAGTGATTATTCGAGACCCTTTATATCTGGTCGCAAGAAAAAGAGATGGTTCTCGGAAGATAGAAAGGTCCTTGAAGGTCCCTGGGTTCCGCGTTTCAAGTGAATCTTTGCAGACCAAGTCTTTAATTGTTGTGATCGCATTTTGTAGCATGAAAACAATTGTTCAAGGCTGGTCTAAGCAGAATAAATTATTTCCGACCGTCTGGTCGATATAGAGAGGGCGCGTGGGAAGGTGCCTGCCTTCCGTTAGCAAAGGTGCACCCACATCATGCCTCCCACCTCCCACTACTCCGATCTACGAATCTTGCCTTCCTTTGCCCTGCCTCTGTCTTCAGCTCTTTGCTTTCTACCTTGCCTCTCCTTGTAACTCTTCACCGTCACTTATCCTCGCAGTCCTAGTGGTTCGAGTGATCCACCTCTCCCCAAGAGAGTGAGCACTCTATCACTTTCACCACTCATTCACGCATTTACGCAATATCGTCGATTCAACACTACAACGCCTACGAGTACGATTAAATGAGTTCCATTCTCTCAGTGTGGGCAAAACACCTTTTCCATTCGTTATTCCACGTACCGACAATAGCTTTTCAGTAGCGTAGTAGCATCGCTCTCACTCAGCTACCGGCAAGCAGACTTCCTTCTCAGAGCCACTCGAAGTGTCGAAAATGAATAGTCTAGGTGCGACTCCGGAGTTTATTCCGGGACGTCCTTTCCACCTTGGATTGGGGAAATGCTCCACGAACGCCAACAGGACCATGCCCTCCAATGGAGAGACACTTTCCTTGCGACGACAACGCAGTCGGAAAGTCCAGCCCAAGGTCATCAACGTCCCATCTTCTCCGACAGCCTCATCCAGCACAAGCCAGCAGTCAACAGAGACATCGAGTTCTGCTCTTGATGGCGTCGAAAATTGCAAAGACCACCACATCCATCCATCAAAGAACGGCATACCTCCTGGCACACCCACAGCCCCAGCAGCAGACCGAAGACGCCAGATACAGTTGCATCATATCCCAGTCTATCATAGTCGCGTCTTTCACACTCGACCCCCTCCAAATGCACCAAAAGACCCTGCAGCCGACAGAAGACAAATAGCGAAGGTTGCCCCAGTACCTCTTCAAGTGGTTCCTCAAGCCGTACCCAGTCACTGCCAGTCTAAGGTCTGGCGGAGCCCCAAGACGGAGTTGACGGACGCTTTTTCGAGAGTGCAGCTCGAAATGCAACGCCTTGGCTTCAGCAGGTCGTCTGCTGCCCCGGCCACATTCGAGGAGTACTTGGAAGTTGTCCTAGCCGAGAAAGACCGCAAGATACAACAAAACGCCGCTGTGTTACAGGCCATTAGATTGAAGACAGAACAACAGAAGATGGCGAGACAGAAAGGAGGCGGCGGCCCGGGTCTTCCTTCCAGCAGAGAACCAGCTTCGATTCAAGATCCGGCCTCCGGTTCAGGGCCGAGTTTGGCCACTGCCAACCCATTGTATGGAGCTGATCCATGTTGGAACATTCAGTACACCAAGATAACGGATAGGGCACAAGATCGATGTGCTGAATGGCCTACGCTTGCAGTGTACAAGGAAGCGAGTCGGAGGGCTTCGAACAACAAATGTCTGCCTCCTCCCAAACAGCGCAACGTTCAGGACCGAATAGACTTGGCACTTGGAGATGTGGCGTGGAAAGAGCATGCATCGATTCACCAAGAACATGTTATCGGCTCTGATGACAGAAGGGGCATCTTCTCACCTGGGAACGATGCTTCAACCGAGACTGGTCCAAACAACCACATAGATCCGAATAGTCTCAACGATTGGACCCGAGAAATCATTGACGAAATCATCCTTGAGACAGAGGGCAACGAGACATCGATCACGGACGAAGACAAAGCTTAGGCGGCGTTGAACAAGAGAAGAAAGAGATGCTGTCGAAGTCAATCAGTATAAGAGGCAGAAAGAGGAGGTGGAACGAAGACATGTTATATGGCTCTAGTGCATTGGAAAAAAGTTTGCAGTTGGCAAAAACCAGTGCTGGCTATGGATTGAATATGCCGCATTGGCTTTCGGCGCGGTTATTATTGGTGGCCAGAACACCTGGAAGGAAACAAAGACGTATGAAGCATTGAGAAATTCGACCTTCTTTGCCGGACTTTGGGCTGCAAAGAAACCAGCGGAAATTCTTTTGAGTAGCTAGGGCCGTCGAAACAAGTCTAACTTGGAATCCGTATTGCACAAAGCACGGAAATACGGGGAGGTTATTCAGAGAGAGAGAGCAAGTAGCCTCAAGGAAAACCACCAGCAAAGGCTTAGCGCAAATGTGAAATCTTTCGAATAATTTCCGTCCACCATGAGAGGTGCACGTTGACAGCCCCTGTCCTATACACTTCTGCACCAAACCGATGCTTCGTGGTATTTTGTAAGTTTTGCATATTAACAGGAATGAAATTACCTCCGTATGCCCATGACACTGGAAGGAGCTTACAACATATTCTAGGGTGGCAAGTTTCGTTCCTAAGATACTTGCAATGGAAAGCGTGACCAGAATGCTGTGATAAGAATCTAGCTATGCAATGATTGGAAGCGGAATGCCTTGGTTGAGGCAGCAATATCTTGTTTGTGAATAGCATCGCTTGCGCCTCTCTGAGGTGGAAGAACCCTAAAGAAGAAGAAGCTCTGCCCTGGCAGGAGCAACAGCTAGGGCCACCTGCCAAGGTGAGGTAGGAACCCTTTAAGGTGACCAACCCATGGATAGGTACCTTGAGGAACCTAAGGTGAGAAAGGCCCCTCTTTAGCTCAGGAGCTTCTTCCACCGAGGTTCAGCCGTGGGGTGCAGGGCAGGAACGAGGAAAGGTGGAGGGCTCCAACCCAATGCGGTGAGAAGTGGGGATTTCAGCCTCTCGCTTTCTGTTTGCTGTCCTTCCACCTCCCGCCATCAAACCTTTCCTCCACACAAATACCTTACCTGCTTCGCTCTCCCTCCTCCTCTTCTCTCAACGACCCCAACCACCTCCAATCCCATCTTCCTTCCTCTTGCGCGTCCTCTTCCCGGCATTGTATTTACTTTTCTCCAGGAGCGCATTGGTTCGCGGCTTGACTTTTCTTTCCTTTCCATTCTCCCAAAGACGCGAATCCAAAGCTTGGTTGCGTCTTTTACGCAACCCTCATAACCGAGATGTCAGAATTCTTAGGGTACGAAGACCTGGGGACCCTCCCAATCTCAAGCGCAATTTCGCTCGACATCCTTGCTAACCACATACATATATATATAGATCTCGCATCTCCCTCATCTCCAAGAGCGACATTCGGTAAGGACTTGGAGGACTCTGCACTGCTCCCCAGTCCCCTTGCTCATCGCCTCTAGATATGTCGGCGTTCTTCACGAGATCAACTCAGACGAGTCTACCGTCTCGCTCGAGAATGTTCGCTCTTTCGGAACTGAGGGTCGAAGGAACAGGCCCGAAGAAGAGATAGCACCCTCCGATCAGGTTTATGACTACATCATTTTCCGTGGCAGCGATGTCAAAGATTTGAGGATCGAAGACCACCCAGGCATCAAGGAGAACAAGCCTCCTGCCATGCCTGAGGACCCTGCCATTGTCAACGTAAGTATTACTTCCGCGTAACCCCTCCCCCTCGACGCATTTCATGATGAAATATTGCGGATGTAAATCTTTATCGTCTTGTCGGAAAAGCGCAACTTACACGATGTCGAAATTTCCGTTGCCTTCCTTCTGAATTGAAGCGTCACTTCTCGAATTGTTTGATACAATGTATCGACAACATGGCTAATTATGATGCGCAATGCAGGCTCGTCCTCGCCCCGGCCAGGGACCCAACAACCAGCCGCCTCCTGCGCCTGGCTTCGGTCAACCTCCTTTCCAGAACAACTTTTACCCCCCACCTGGCCCATGGGGTCCCGCCCCCGGTCCTGGTCGCGGTGGTCCCGTTCCTCCCGCTGGGATGGGCGGCATGCCCTACCCTCCTCCGCCAGGATGGTTCCCTCCCGGTCCCCCGGGCCAAGGCTTCCCTCCCGGCCCTGAACAGTGGAATAACTACAACAACTACCCTCCCGGTCCCCGTGGACCTGCAGGTCCCGGCGGACCTCACGGCCCTGGTGGTGTACCTGGTCAGGCTCCTGAGAACCGTGGCACTCCCGGTCCTCAGGATGGAAAGCCTGCGCCGATTGGCGCTGCTGGTGACAAGCAGAAGCCCGCCACCCCGGCCGCTCAAGGTGCACCAAGCGAACCGAAGACGGCACCTCCGCCTGGGTTCCAGGCACCCGCCCCGACGCCCCCTGTCGACTCGAAGCCCTCTGTGGCAGAGGTCAAGGCGACTGCTGCATCTTTGAACGCAGCTGGCCCCGCTAAGCCTGTCGAGCTTCCTGTGCCCACAGGACCGAAGAACATTGGCCGCGTCCAGCCTGTGATTCCCCTGGCTGGTTCTATGCCCAAGGCCTTCCCGGTGCCTGTGAACGATAGCAACGCTGCGCAATCTGCTCCTAAGGCTGCCGCGGCGCCCACTGCCGCTTCTGTACGCGACGCGACTGAGGCAGCAAAGGCCGCCGTCGCTTTGGCTATGGCGAACATGAATGCTGGCAACGTTGCAGTTCCGGCTGCGCCCCAGGGCAACGGCAATGCGATGGACAACTTGACTAAGAAGGTCAATGAAATGAGAGTCAACGCTGCCCGAACAACCCAGCCAGGAGGAGGCCGGGGACGAGGCCGCGGCGGCCGCCAAGGTTCAGCCCAGGGCCAGGGCCAGGCTAAGGTCGACGTGCCAGATGCGGACTTTGACTTCGCTCAAGCCAATGCGAAGTTCAACAAGGATGACCTGGTGAAGGAAGCGATCGCTGGATCGCCTCTGAACGAGACTCCTAGCAATGGACCTGCAGCCGAAGTTCCTGCTCCCGAGGTCCCAGGCACTAACCCGCCGATTGCGTACAACAAGACCCGATCATTCTTCGACAACATCTCGAGCGAGGCTAAAGATCGGGCAGACAACAACGGTCAGAAGCCCGGCGGTCGTGAATGGCGCGGTGAGGAACAACGCAAGAACATGGAGACCTTCGGCCAAGGAAGTGTTGATGGCGTATACAGAGGCTACCGTGGCAGAGGCCGTGGCCGCGGACGCGGTTTTAGTGGCGGTCGTGGCGGAAGAGGCAGCTACCGTGGTCGTGGTGGCCAAGGTGCCCCGTCTCCGGCTGCGAACTAGACGCCTCTTGAGGCCAGGGCATCGCGAACGGTTTCGCATGCTGCTTGGAGCAATCTGTCTTCGGACACTGCGATTCCGGATCGGGCGAAGGACTCACGATTTTAACGGACGTAACTCGATTTTTGAATGGAGCATGCGTCCTTTCAAGACATGCCAATCATGCAACACTTTATACGATGTATTATCACTCCTCGATTCTCGATTTTTCTCGGATTCCCTTGGCGATGGAGCACTGGGCAGGCAAGTCCTCTGCATTGGTTTTGCCAGATGGGCAGGAATCATAGGACTGCTATTTTGACACGCATGGGATCGGAAGGAGTTTGGCAAGTGGTAGCCGCAAGCAATGGGAGCTGCGGTCTCATGAATGCGCGGTGACGACAAAAAGGGAATATCAGGCGTGAGTAGCTAGCATTGACTTCTCGTTTACTCGTTGGATCGGGGGACAACCCGGAACAACACGATACGACAGTAGAGACAGGTCTTCTACCTGGCATATGAAAGGGAGCATGAGTACCCTGAAGGTCTGAATCCAAGCGATCAGGATTGGAGAAGGTACGAGAAAAAGAGGATTTCTTTTGGTGGTAGAACCTAGAATCAGGCGACGTGGATAAAGACTCTGGGTCTTCCATCATCGAATGCAATCACGCCAGCCACCAATTTTCAAGTGCACCTTGTCCATTCTACTGTGACAATGTTGGCAGAAATTAACGGAAGGATGCGGACAATGCCAAGAAAGCCATGGTAATACATTGCGCTGCAAGGAAGCTCCACCTTGTCGATTGTTGGATCGGAGAACTCTCAAGTGTGTTTGCCCTGCAAGTGCCGAAGATAGGTTGCTGGTGCGGATACTGGAGATAGGTCGTGAATTGATGTATAAAATTTGCCCCGCCACACCCCGCCAAACGTCATGCACCTCAGTCAGACACGTTTTCGGCGTGACGCACTCTGCTTGTAAACCTCTAGTAGGCACACAAGACTTGTGCCACTGTCGCTAATCAATTCCGAAAAAATCTCCCACGACAACAGTTATTCCCCTCCAACACTCACCTCACCACTGAGAAGCTCTCACTGATTGAACTATTGCGCAATGTCGAGCCGTCAGCTACGCAAGCTGCAAAAGCAGCGGGAGCTCGAACAGCTCCAAGAAGCCCAGGCCACTGCAGACGAGTCCAGCGAAGAGGAACCCGAGCCAGCGCCCATCAAGCCCCGACAGAGTTTATTTGCAGCTCTCGGAGGCGACGATGACGACGACGATGAGAACGACGACGAGAAGTCTGATGATGCGCAAGACGAACCGGAGCCTGAGCCAGAAGTAGTGCCGCAGCCTGCGAAAAAGAAGAACAAGAAAAAGAAGAAGAAGACCAAGAGGGCTGCGACCCAGGACGAACCTCCCAAACCAGCCGACGACAAGGAGGATGAGATTGACCGGGCCCTTCAGGAGCTCAAAATAGCCCGCAATGCAAGCACCGATGCCTCGGACAACCTTGCCCAGCGCAGCCGCGATATCGACGACTTGTTGCAGATCAACACTCAATACCTGAGAGCGATTCACGAGATGCGAGCTCTTTTCGGAAAGGAGGCCATTCAAGCTGCCCAAGATGAAGAGAGAGCCGAGCAGGAGGCGGCGCGCCGACAAAGAGGCCCGACTCAGCAGGTCGATCTGGAGACGGCGCTTCGAGGGGACCCGCGGAAGAAGTTGCCTGAGATTTCGCTGCGACGCAATGTTTTCATCCAAGGCAAGGAGACGTGGCCCCGCGCTACTGCCGTGGGCCTGGTCATGAAGGAGATCAGAAAGGGCTCCGATGGTCTTACCGAGTTCGCTTTTGTCCACGAGAAGGCTTACGACAACGTCCAGATCATGTTCTTCAGCTGCGTTCAGCTTGGTGACCCCATGCAGATGGTGAACCTGTTGATACGGTATCCCTATCACATCTCGACTTTGCTCCAAGTGAGCAAGGTGGCTATCCAGGACCAGAACCAGTCACTGGCTGCAGACCTCTGCGAGCGAGCACTCTTCACATTCGGCCGATCTACGACATCCGCCTTTAGACAGAAATTGGAGCAGGGCAAGGCTCGCCTGGACTTCCGCCGTCCCGAGAACCGCGAACTCTGGTTGGCAGGATATACATATCTCAAGAGTCTCATCCGCAAGGGGACGTATAGGACGGCTCTTGAGTGGGCGAAGCTTCTGTTCAGTCTCAACCCGAATGATCCTTACGGCATGAAGTATTTCATCCACACTCTAGCAATCCGAGCACGTCAAGCGCAGTGGCTCATTGAGTTCCTCAATACTGGTGAGTTCGTGGCCGATGAGACGGACGACACCTACATCAAGCAAACCATGGTCCTCGCCAAGCTTCAGGTGGGTGACACGAAGGGAGCAAAGATGGCTGCAGTGGCCGGCATGGAGCGGTTGCCGTGGCTATACTGTGCCCTCTTCCAGGCGCTGAACCTGGAAGCGCCGCCCCCCTTGTGGGGAGTTCGACCTGACACGGACGAGCGCGAGTTCTGGACGAAGCTGTACGTTCACCAGGCAAAGGACATCTGGAACAACACGCAAGCAATCGATTTGCTCAAAGAGGCCGTCAAGATTGCGAAGAAGCCGACAGAGACGCTTCCTGAGGATATGCCGGCAACAACCCGTACAGCGAGATGGACGTGGTTGGAGGACACGCCGGCCTTGTTGAGTGGCATTCCGAGGGCCATTCTCACCCGGGAGCCAAACTACGCCTTCGATCCGCTCCCGCCTCTGGAGGATGAGAACATCTTTTCGAGTGAGGGAGTTCGGATGCCGTGGCGGCAAGACAACGGGCAGGGTGGAGGCATGCTCGTCCAGGAGCGAGCACTTCTCAACATGCTTCGCAGACAGCGTCAGCGAGCAGATGCCCGGGGCGGTGGAGCCGGCGCGGCCGCAGGAGCTGGTGCTATGGGAGGAATGATGGGTGCGTTCCCAGAAGACGAAGATGACGCCGGCGATGGCGATGGCGACTTTGGTGATGCATGGGAGGGAGCATTCTCTGAAGGTGAGGGCGACGACGATGACGACGATTTCTTGGAGGGCGAAGGAGGGCAACCCCCATCGGCTGGCGTGGTGCAGCGGCTTGCTGACTTGCTGGCGTCTATGATACCCGGCGGTTGGCCCGCTGAACCAACCGTTGGCGATGAGGCGGAAGGCACGGATGAGGAAATGCCGCCTCTGGTTGACGGCGACGAGGGTGCTGGTGGTGATGAGGCACGTCAACAGCCTGGGGCAAACTAGCCGCAACGATCAACTGGCTGTGCCTATCTACATGAAGGTTTTGTTGCCCTCGATAGATTCTTAGAGGTATAGAGGATACCCAAACAAGAGAATTGATCAAATGATGTCCACCTCGTTTATTCTTACCATACATACTACTACGTATCAGCCCGAAATCAACTTGCAGTCGTCCTCAACATGCACACGGACCCCTGTCCTAGCGCGAGCAGACTAACTTGCGGGTTCGACCGCACGCGACATCCATGAAAGGTCGGAACGAGAGAAGGGGGCGGAAGCAAGGACGATCTGCCAAGTATGAAGAAAGAGAAACGGAGGCGGTTCCCTGGATCCTGGGACATCTCACGTGTGAAGGGTCTGTAGTCGCAACCCGCGACATAATATCTGTCCTGTAAGGTACTTCACTTTGTAATACACTTGTGCAATTATCTGTACCACTGACACTCTGAAATGAAATGCGCTCACTCAGTACCTCACGGCGGGAATGGGGGGGGGGGGTCCCTCTGTTTCAGGGGGGTGATTCGGGGAGAGAATCAGAAAAGAGCATTTTGGAAGTTGCAAAGGGCTGAGGTGAGCAAGTTTCAGAAGCGAGACGGGGAACTCTTCCTTCTGGGGGTGGTCGGTTCAACTTAGGCGCTAGCGGCTACTGGGGGGTTGGTAGGTGGGAGTACCAGAGTGGAGGGTTCGGATGTCAGTGAGCGTGCTGCGCGGCCTTCTCTTGCGCCATCGACGGGCGGTTCCTATGGGAATTAATAATGCGATTTAGCAGCACCAAGGAGGACAGATATATAATCGTCCAGATGACCACCATCTCATTCGGACTGCCGATGATTCTTCTCTGATTTTCTATTTTCGACTTAAAGATACCCCTTCCTTCAACAGTTCTCGTAATACAAGCGACTCACCGTAAACCACACAGGATTATAAACGACTGGAGCTTTCCTTGCCCCTCCTTAATAGCTCTCTTCTACCCCGCCAAACGCCATACCGCAAACTCTCCCACCTGCAACCCACCGAATTTCCAACCTTTCAAACTCCTTCCAAACACCACCACCAAAAACCGACACAATGGCTGAGCACACCTACAAGTTCAACGTCAGCATGAGCTGCGGCGGCTGCTCCGGCGCCGTTGACCGTGTCCTGAAGAAGCTGGATGGTTAGTCCCCCTCCCCACAGATTCCCTCCCCATGCCGAAAGAACATGTGCTGACCGAAGCTTTGTCCGAATACAGGCGTCAAGTCGTACGAAGTCTCTCTCGAGAGCCAGACCGCCACCGTTATCGCTGAGGACAGCCTGCCCTACGAGAAGGTTCTCCAGACCATCTCCAAGACTGGCAAGAAGGTCAACTCTGGCAGCGCCGACGGTGTTGAGCAGAGCATCGAGGTCACCGCATAAACACTTTTCTCGATCTGAGTAGCGGACGGAACATTGTTTGGGCAAGGAGTTTACATGGAAATGTTATGGACCACTGCGACTGAACGTGGTGCGACACTACGTTTTTTGCTGCGGAGGACTTTTTTGCTTTTGCGCACTGGAGAAACCCCTCATCAAAAATAGATATACTATGGTCGCTTCGACTTTTCACACTTGTCTGCGTCTACTTTCTGCTATCGAGAATGGAAGGCCCCAAAAGGTATATGGCTCAAGCACTGTGTTGTTGCTTGACTGTGGCCACATGTGAATAGCTTTTCATGGCTGGATGCCAATGGCTGGAGGAGTAGCCTTTAGGGTCTTCTTCTGGCCATATCCTGTGCTCTTTGCCGTGAAGCCACAGCCCACCCGATAATCTTTATGAGTTATAGATCATCATCTTCAATGGTTCCTTGCCAACCGTCCAGCCAATCTTGGCGTTTTAACTTTTGAAACTTTGAAGCTGCGCAAGATCTCATTGCGAAGGGGAAGTTTGTAAGATTTTCCAGTGAATGTTTGCTGTCACCGGCTCACACAGAGGTACGTACTATCACTCGAGCATCGCTACCCACAAAACATAGTATACTCCTAACAAATATCACTGCCGGAGCTCTTTGGACTTTGTTTGCAAACAAGGCGTCGGAACTGGGCGAATCAGGGCCATATCTGTTGCCTCCTAGATTGTAGCTCACGATGCCAATGTTACCATATCAGCCTAAGATCAGGGTCCTTATCGTCGCATTTCATCACCTATTCTCAAAATGATGGTGGTAATGCCAATAGCAGTGGAGAAGAGATAACCCGCCCTCATCTAGGTGACATTAATATAAGGCCTTGCCTGCTCCGAGCTACTCTCTGAAGATTTCGCATAACTGCAGCAGCACGCGTAATGCGGCATGAACAAGCTGATCGGCTTGGGCTTTATTGATATGTCATCTCAACATGGAACGGCGGGAAGCTTTGTTGGACCGCAGATGGCTACCGAGACAACAAGAAGCTGCCCCTCCTATCTAGAAACTTCGTTATTGGCCCGGGATGGACGTGCCCCTCTTGTCCTCAATGAAGTTTTGCCATGGATGGCAGGGTTGCTACCTACTTCGGTCTGCAATAAGGTCGCCGCCGTCTCATCAAGGGACACATTAGAAGGGCCTTGGGGATCTCCCACCGCCGATCTTGGTGCCTTGCCCAATGGGAGCCTCTAGATCGAGCATGAGACGGGAGAAAACGTGAAGTAAGGACCCTGAAAGAAAGAGATAGGCAGCATGTTTGGAAGCATACGTCTGGTTAGTTACGTAGGGCGGCCAGGTAGTAAGGTAAGGTATCCAGCAGTGGCTGTCGACACCCGGAGCTCACCTCAGTCCCAAGGGTACCCACACCCGCCAACGCCACCCGGGGAGCCGGGGAGGAGTGCCTACCAACGTCATTTTTGCGCCGTGGGTGGTGGGGGGCGATGAGAAAGGGCTGGGGGCCACGGGGGGTAACCCGCACAAAGCGCCGGCCGATGAAGCGGCTGGATACGTTTTTGCGGTGTGGCCATCGGTGTTTTCTTTGCTTTGCGCGCCTGAGGTCTGTCTAGGATGGTGGGAGGTGGGAGAGACAAGTGAAAAGGGAAAGCGTCACACAGACAGATGACCGTCCGGCCCTGCCAGATGACGACCGGACCCGAAAGTGGGTGGCGGTGCTTGTACCGTTCCCCGTTTTTTTTTTGCTTCCACGGGGTCTTGCCAGACGAATTATTTGGTGAGATGCACGAAGTACAGAGCACGTACCCTTACCCTTAGTTAGCTGCCCGAACCTCTCATAACACTTCTGCCTTTTCCTTGCATCAAAAGATGAGACCGCTGGGTTGCAGTTCTCGACACTAATGCATTTTCAAGCTTTTGCAAAACATACTGCTGCTGCCTTGAAGTCAAAACGGACACTTTTCACTTCATCCGACTACAACTCTACTTCAAACTCAACCGGCAACACTATTTGAGGGAGGAGAAGAACCGGCTTCCAGAAGTCATCTCGGAGGCCGCCATCTCATCTCTATACCTACCACCGAGGAAGAAACAAAAAAAATCGTCCTATATTCGCACACAACCAAATTCTTTCCATCGCAGCTCTTTCCATACACAAACACTGTTCACAATGGGAACACCGTTCGTGTCCCTTCTGGAGCCGACCCGGCTCGACGCCTACATCCGCGGCGCGCCGCACGACGAGCAGCCGGCGACGATACCAAAGGAGATTTGCGACGCCATGGAGGTGCGCGAGGCCGTCTTCGTCGCGGAGCAAGGCGTCCCCGCCGAGAACGAGTTCGACGCCGACGACAGCCGCGCCTGCCATTGGGTCTCGTACGCGTCCGTCAATAAAGTCGTCGAGCAGGAGGTGCTCGACGACGCCGGCAACGTCGTCCGGCCCCGCCGCAGCAGCACCCGCAGCACGCCCATCGGCACCATCCGCCTGGTGCCCTTTCCCCACGCCCCGCACCCCAAGAACGGGGGCGTCTACTGGGACGGGGTGTTGAAGGAGGACCCAGCCGTGGCGGCGGATGCTGCGCCGAACGGGGAGAAGAAGGTGGTGGCGGACAAGGAGTCTTCCGAGTCGGCGAGCAGTCCCGTGGAGGAAAAGGCCGAGAGCGCGGCGGAGCACGTGGGCGAGGAGAGGCGCATGTCAGCAACAAAAGTCTTTGCGCCGGACCGCGCGACGGCGCTGCACGACGGGCGGGAGCCGTACGTGAAACTGGGCCGGCTGGCCGTGGTCAAGGAGTTTAGGGGACACCGGATCGCGAGGCTGCTGGTCACGACGGCGCTGGCGTGGCTGCGGGCGCACCCGAGCTACTTTGATCCCAGTATCAAGGAGATGGGACTCGAGGCGATCGGGGCAACGAGCGCAGAGGAGGTGCCCAAGTGGAGGGGGCTCGTCTGCGTGCACTCGCAGGCGGCCGTGGTGGGCGCGTGGGAGAAGTTTGGGTTCCGGGTCGACGAGGAGATGGGGACGTGGTGGGAGGAGGGGATCGAGCACAAGGGTATGTTTATGCGGTTGGATGTCGAGGAGGAGAAGCCCATTCTTTGAAGGGGGTTTGATGGAAAGAAAGGTGATGCTGGACTGGAGGGTGGCTGCTTAAAAGGAGAGAATAGAGGGCTGGGGAGGCATCATCGCCTGGCTTAGCAATGATTGATGATGGGGATCTGGGTCGATCGAGATGGGGGATCTTTGATGGTTTACGATACCCCATGATGACTTTCTGCTTTTTGGACCATGGTCCCTTAATATTACTTAGTAGTTTCGTCAAGACGATATGGGCATGTCGAGTTCATACATGCGTTTCCAGGGTACCATAATGTGGGATGAAGCAGTGACATGCTATGACGTTACGATGTCAGGGCGTCTCATACAATCAACGATGACGATACTGGGAGGAAGACAAAGGGGATATCATTCTCATCTCACATTAGACACCGTGGGGAAACGCCGGGGTATTGTTCATTTGCTCTGACGAGCTTCGGCTTGTATTGGAATAAACCACCTTTTAAGCCGTGAAGAGACAAGATGCCGTAGCAGCTGCGTTCCCCCATTTCCCCAAAACGCGCGCAAATGCAAAACAAAAAGGGTCACCAGCGCAAAACACCGCTTTCTTTTCGTTCATGATTTGAAGAAAAAAGACGTTGAATTGCCCTGTTATGTAATACCACGCCTCCGATTTGATTTGTCCCCCAGAAAGCAGTTTTTTGACGTCTCGATAGAGAAATAGGGAAAAGGGGGAGGTTGTAGATGGAACCCCCATTTTTTCAACAGGTCTCCTCCACGTTTTTGTTGCCCGCCCTTTCTTAGCTCCCTCCCCTTTCTCTCATTTCTCCAAACCAAGCGTGTTCACGGGGAACGAGCATGAGAAGGTTATGCCTTTTCCCACTATTTCCCGGGGAAAGAAAGACAAAACCACCCACAGTCCCCAGACACACGCCTCTCCAAATCCCAGCAGCAGAGTTTCATAGCCCTTTCCACGAGGGGTAAAACACATAGACAAAAGGGAGTGATGAAAAACCCTTTACCGGTTGGACTTGGCGACACGCTCGAGCTCGTCCTTCTTCTTGATGGCGTAGGAGTTGCTGGAGCCCTTGGCGGCGTTGATGAGCTCCTCGGCAAGGCACTCGGCAATGGACTTGACGTTGCGGAAGGAGGCCTCACGGGCACCGGTGGTGAGGAGGGCGATGGCCTGGTTGACGCGGCGGAGGGGGGAGACATCGACGGCCTGGCGACGGACGGTACCGGCGGAACCGATACGGGTGGAGTCTTCGCGGGGACCGCAGTTGACGATGGCGTCGACGGCGATCTGGATGGGGTTCTGGTCGGTCATCAGGTGGATCTGTAGTGGCATGTGTTAGTCTTGTGTGTTGTACCTCCTCATTGTGTCTGTAGGTCGGATTGGCCAAAGAGGTTTTTTGGCTTGTGGGTGCGGGCTCGGTAGGGTGGGTGACATACGATCTCGAAGGCGTGGGCAACGATGCGGACAGCCATGAGCTTCTTTCCGTTGTTGCGGCCGTGCATCATGAGGGAGTTGGTGAGACGCTCAATGATGGGGCAGTTGGCCTTGCGGAAGCGCTTGACAGCATAGCGGCCAGCGGAGTGGGTGACATAGACGGGGTTGCGGAGGGAGATGTAGTCACTATTCGAGTCGGTTCGCGATTAGCTTCTTGAATTCTCCAAGTCCCAGTTCCCAATTGCGAGTCCTCTGTAAAATAATGTTCCTCTCGTCGTCGTCGTCGTCGTCGATCGCGTTCCTGCGCAGACAGAAAGAAAAAATGTGCGTGGGAGGTGGACTCACGTCAGAGAGATGTCCCGGACCTCAACATCGTAATCCCACTTGTTGAAGAGCTTGACGTTGCCGACCTCCTTGACAACGTCCTTGGGGAGGACATCGTAGTTGCCCACGCTCTCGACCTCGATATCGCCGCCGTCAGACATTTTCGCTCGACCTTTGGGGGGTTAGTAGACCTTGTTGGGAAGGAAGATCGAGAAAGGCTTGGGGTGGGAAAATGTGGTGGTCGTGGGTTGAAGTTGTCCAAGTGCGAAAGTACGCCGCAGAGTGGGTTTCGATTTTTGCCAGCTCGCTCCTCGAAAACCGTGACTTTGGTGCACAAGGAACGGAACCACCAAGGGCTTTTGGTCCGGGCTCTGGTCCTCTTCGCTGGGCCACTGGGCGAAATATTTTTTCAACCCGCGATGGTGGTGGTGTGCACCCAATCAGAGCCCTCAAAGCAGGCCAAGTGGACCCGCCCGTGTGCAATTTGTTAGGGTTGGCCAACCCTCCAACCGAAAGGCCTGGAGGGGTGGTTCTGGAGTGGCACCTCTTCCCGCAACCTCATACAATTGAAATTCCTACTCCCGACGACCTAGGTGCCTTTGGTATTCCGACCGACGACATCACAAATCAGACAAAATGGTACGCACGCGAAACGACGCCCCTCTCCCGTGTGCGCGACGCACAAATTCGCGACTTGGCCGGATCACGATGCTGACTTGAATTGGATGTAAAGGCGCCAGCTGCAGGAGCTAAGAAGCAAAAGAAGAAGGTTCGTCGCAAAACCCGTGTTCCCATAAACGTGTCTTGAAGTGATGAAGTGCTGACTCTGTCGCGATAGTGGTACGTATGATTCTATGCACACACGCACAAAGAACTTGTCGAAATATTCCCCAACGATACTCTATCCTCGGACGCCAATGCTTATACCGTTCATCGATCACCCGACTTACCCATCGTTATAGGTCCAAGGGAAAGGTCAAGGACAAGGCCCAGCACGCCGTCATCCTCGACAAGGCCACCTCCGACAAGCTCTACAAGGATGTTCAGTCCTACCGCCTGGTGACCGTCGCCGTCCTCGTCGATCGCCTCAAGATCAACGGCTCCCTGGCCCGCAGATGCCTTGCCGACCTTGAGGAGAAGGGCATCATTAAGCCCGTCGTCCAGCACAGCAAGATGAAGATCTACAGTACGTCGAACCTATAGTGCTACGAGAGAACCCAACGAGGAGCACCAAAGCTAACATTCATCACCAGCCCGTGCCGTCGGTGGTACTGACTAAACCCGCTCAGCCATTGAACGTGGTACGCGTGACGACAAAAACAAAAAGCAACGGGAATCAGGGACGGATTTGGTCATATCTGCCTAGTCAGGAGGCTTTTCGGATGCTCAATGAAGCATTATACCTTGGGCCTTAGGGATCGGATTTGCTTAGCACCGCAAATGGAACGGAGTTGATCGTACATCTGCTGCGTCGTCAAATAGACCATGATCACGTCCTGACGTCCCAATGATACCGGCCCAAAGGTTATCGCCCCAGTGCATGCGGCCCATATGCATTGTCCTCCCCTCAGACGTCATAGTCGAGTCTCGTCTTGCTGCAGTGAGTGGCCCTTGCCATGCTGGTTCGCCTATTGAAGCCCATGTGCGAAGGCAAGCGGAGTTCTTCGGGGGTGTGAACTGTGAGATGGAAGCGGCTTTGAACTCGACGTCAGCACCCGATTGCTGTAATCATCGCCGTGCGAATCATTTCATTCGTCAGCAAGGCGGTCGTTGCTTCGATATTCACGGTCTCCAAAGACTCAATAATGTTGCAACAACAACTCTCGCCCGCCCAGAGGCCCGCAGATATTGTTTCCGTCCGAAGAAGACAGCTGCACCTGATGCTATAGGGCTGTGACACACAACTTATTATCGTCCGCTACGTGTTTCCACTTTCATGATGCGCTGGGAGCTCGAGAGCCAAGCGAAAGACTGGCTTGCTTTGCTTCTTAGCCCGCAGTCCATCCAGCCCTAGAGACTAACAAAGGCCCGATGTCGTGCAGATTGAGGACAACGGTTGCTGGGCTGAGATGAAGTGTTCCCGTTGCACAGAGGTCTGAGCATCAAGCCCTCGTAGTACAGAAGGATCTGTTGATGGCTTTTGTACTACGGTCTTGACGATGGCGACACTAGTTGAGCCTCGTCGACCGCCACCAGAGAGGCTGACGCTAGAATAAAACCATTGTTCTTTGATGGAATGCAATATCGTGGTTTGTACGCATATTCGTTGGTCGACTCATTTGCCGTCCATCGTATTTCGGTAGTAATGACAACGTAATAATAATTTTGTGCATACGGAGTGGAGGCTCCCTTTAATCTGTCACTCGCTTGACGAATTACTCGCGCTCTTGGTTTCCGGAGACATCGGCGTCAGCGCTGTGATGGGTACTGGCATGAGCGTCAATGTCGCTATCACTCTGGCTGCCACTTTGACAGTAACACGCCGTTCCCTGGTCTTGCGCCTAAGAACACGCGTTCATGATTTTGAAGACGCAAAGGCCGGGTGCGGGGATACAGTTTAAGGGCTTCTTGAGTTCTTTGCCGGGGCCCAAGCCCGGAGCCCGAGATGTCGGACACGTCAAGGGGCTGGCAGTAGGAATGGACTCGGAAGTGGTTCGGGCTGATGAGATTAAACCAGTCGTTGGCGGCTGGGCGCTACGGCGGGACTTCCCAGGCGCTTTGATCAAGTTTGGGGGTGTTTGACCAGGAAGGCAAATTGATTAGGGCGGTCCGAAATTTGATGTCATGTCGAAATTGGCAGCGTCACGAAATGCCCCTTTTCCCCTTCTCTTTCTGCGACAAGGGGAATTGGAGTTGGATTTTTGGAGGGGTTGATGGAGATGAGAAGTGATTAGTCTGTAAGGTGGTAGCACGGTTCGCGTGCGAGTTTGCGTGCATCGAGTTTTCGAGGGGTAGTGAGCATTAACTGGTCGAACATTGATTGGGAAGCCGAAGAATGCCAGAGATGCCTTGTTGAATGCTAGTCGACAGGTTAAGTTCCAGGGTCTCATTTGAACAAAGAAGCGGCACATGATGCGGCTGTAAGCCAGACGTGAACGTCATGTGGTAGCTGACGAATGACAAGCCGCAGAAACAGGCAGACCATATGGCAGCGGGATCGAGAGACTCAACACGCAGCTGACTGGTTGACGAACCCCCCCAAAAAGACGAATAAGACGAGAAGTGAAGAGGATGGACCGGGTCACTTGGTTCGTTTCAACTTTGAAGTTGGAGCGTAGACCCAAGAAGCTTGTAAATTTGCGGGCATGAAGGGTGAGAAGTGGTAGGATGGGGATTGAAGGCATGTTTTAAGGCATGGTATGTTGGTGGGATGAAATGGAAGGCAGGTACGGCAGGCCAAGGTACCTACTCCATAGTACTAGGTAAATTAGCTGTCAAGACTCGGACGAGTTCGTGGAGAAGGGAAGGAGCATAAGGAACCTTGGTTCGTCGTGATGTCCATCCCGGCCACTGTTTGGTAGGTGCACCAATGCCGCTTAGGCACTTACTGTGTACGGAGTACCTAAAGTAAGTAGGTGCTGGTAAGGTGCGAAGTAGTTACGGGGAGTCGTTGAGTATCATGAGCACCTTCCTTTGCTTCCATAGGTTCCTTAGCTTGAGGTTAGGTATCCGTGAGGTAGAGAGGCGAGAAGCTAAGGTATCTTGGAGAAAGTAACGGAGGAAGTGACAGAGGGGCCTAGAGCAAATGACCTTACCTTGTTGGTCGTAGTGACAGATGGTGAAAGTGGGATTTCCAGGGTCGTGGAGAGCTGCACATGGAAGGCACTCAAGGCTTAAGCCTCCAAGGAAGGAAGGAAGTTGGCTCCCACCTGGATGCCGATGCCGTCAGGTACGGATACCGTGCCTTTGTCGTCTACGGTCTACCTTAATTAGTGGCCGGGGTGGACGGATGGATGGATGAATGCAGGCCAGCTGCAGGTGCATAGGTCCTCCGAAGACAAGGGATGGATAGGTGCTCTGCAGTATGCATGGTGGTGCCGGATACCCTCACCAGCAAGATAGAATATATCTTTTCTTGCTCCTATGTGGCAAGTGCTCTAGCGTTCTTTAACTTTGAGATCCCTTCAATCCAGGCAGAACATGGAGTATGGACAGTACTCGCCAGACCAGGTCTCGAGGTGTATTTCGAGGTCAGTGTTCGCAAGACTTCAGCCATTGACGAGGCTGCTACATGGTCTCAAACATGCCCCCTCCACTTCATGCTTTGCAACCATCTGGCTTTCTCGGGGGTCGCCTGTCAAGCCTGTTCCCCCAACTTTGCCGCTGGCTAGGCGGCGTGGGGAAGCATCAAGAGAGGAGCTGAGGTGTCAGGAGCCTGGTTTATGCACTTCCATGCAACTTGCAGCGCGTGTATCCGTACGGAGTACTGCGTAGAGGGTGAGAGCGTAGGTGCTCTTTTAGATTTGGATCGCCTGTCCCGGTCGGGTCGCATGAACACTCCTTCTGCGCCCAATTGACTGGGTCTCGAGACCATTCCCTTTGCAGCTGATTACAGATGGCAACCTGGTAATTGCACACTCCACCATAGGACATAGGACCACCAAAAAAAGACAGCAGGAGCAGGTGCAGGACTCGAGGTACCTGATTTCCTGATGCGAGACTGCGGAGCCCCCGACGTACCTCTTGTCTTTCCAACCTCCGGCTTGACTCCGTCCACTTACCTCAGGGCAATCGCAACCTGCTTGCCTCCTTCCTCCAGATGCAATTCGACCACACGGGTTCCTCAATTTCGAGTTGAGGTATCTGTACAGAGAGATACCTTTCTCAGCATGTGTTATCCTCTCAAAAAGCTCCGTTGGATCATAGGTGAGGTAAAAGAAAGGTACTTACAATAACACCAAAGGAACTCAAACTGGATATGGCGAACTCTCACTACCCTTCCTTCGTTGCGCCTTCTCATGGACCTGCAGCAGATATAATTGGTAATTATCCGGTACACCGTCTCCAGGCCCCTCCCTCCTTACTGTGTCCGCATGTGTGTGTGTGCCGCCCGTACCTGGCCCCTTCCCCTTCCCGGCCTGTGATCTCCATGTGTGCCAACCAAAAATGATGCGCACCACCAGATGATGGCCCTGATGTCAGGCACCACACCCGCCCTGTCTTACATCTTCGTTCTGACTTCTCTCCTGCTCAGTCCTCCCCTCCTTACTCCCAACTTGCACTGTCTCGATCTGACCCCATCTGAATGGACCGTGACCAAACCAGGTTTGCCCACATCCGCCTGTCTCGCCTCTCCTCTTGTTGCTTCCCTCAAACTTACAAAGTCCAAGTCCATCCCGCATCCAAAAGCCTCCGCCGTTCCTGTCCCGACTTGACTTCCTTGTTCCTCCTCCCCTTCCAAGTTCCCGCCTCCACCTCTCCCACCATCTCCGATCCCCTTTTCCCTGCCGCTTGCAGACAAGACAACCACAGACGAAACAAATACTCGCCCACCTCCCTTCAGCTCTGCTCTCAGGTCTTTCTCTCCGGCGCATCAAAGATACCCCTCTCTGCCTGTGCCTTGCTCCATCCATCTTTCGCGACAAAACCACCACCGCACTTGTTCGACATCTTCCATCTTGCTTCTAGAGCATTGCATAGCCAACTCGCCTTACCGCCCCTTATCCACCACACATTACTACCCGCCTGCTTGGATTACCACATCGGTGTGACACGCACCCTGTCGACACTGTCAACCACTAACCGCTGATCATCCTCCCTTTTTGGTCGACCACGAACCCAACCGTCTCCAGTCCCTGATTGCGAGTCGTCTTTTCTCCCACTCGCAACCTCACAATCTCAACTCCTCTGCCTATCCGAAGCTCCTTCCTACACACGAAATGGCGCACAACATGACCGACGCTGAGCTCGACCTCGACTGGCAGCCCAATGGCCGCCGCCCTCAATCGTGCGTTCCAATGGCCCGCCCCAGTTAACCAAAAACCTTCCGAGATGCGTCGCTGACCCGCAGTCGCGCAGTACCATTGCTCGTTCCTTCTCCCAGGAGCTTGCCGACATCTTCCGCCTCGACGAACCCGTCACAGACGAGAAGCTTGACCAACGGTATGTAGAGCCGCATCATCCAGAATCATGTTTCACCTTACGACATGCAGCTTTACACCCAAAGGAGTAAAGTCAGAAAACTAAGAGAATCGTGACAGAAAGCAGAATGTTCAGAGCCAGACTAGCGAGCTTGAAGCTCTCGAGCGTCGCATTCGCGAGATGGAGGAGCGGTTGAAGAGCAACAACGTCAACAAGCAAGCCGCCACACAGCCTGCTGCTGCCGCGGGAGATGCTGCATCAGCATTGTCAAAGG